ATTAGGAGAGTGTCTAGTCCATAACGGCTGTTCAGAAAATATTTGTTGGGAAGTGTTCAGGTAACTAAGAGCACACACTGACTTTTAGCTGTGGGCTAAGCTCTTCATTCTCTTTGAGTCTCAATCTTCATTTCTAATATGGAGAATATAGATAAAGTACTAACTTAGCTCAATGCCTGGTAAACTATGAATACTCAATAAATATTCGTCATTTTGAGGATGGTGATCACCATCGATTATCACTCAGATTGAAAGCTGACCTGCAAGAGTTTAAGCAGGTAGAATGAATAGCAGAGATACTATTGACAACCACAATTACTGTTCAATTAGGGAGCATCTTGTTAACTGGAAGTCCATTAGATTTGTTTGAACATTTGATTAGTTTGGATCTGCAAAGGTGAGCATGTAGGAAGGGTGAATGTACAATAGAGAGAGACACACCTTGAGTTTGGGGCATTTCCAGACTGGTAGCATTGAGGGGTGATATGGGAAAGGGAAGAGAAAGAGATAAACCAAAGCACTGTCCTTGGGCTGGGCCAGCACAAGGCTAGAGCTGTCAGTGACACACCCAAGTGGAGGGTCCATTCCTCAAAAACTATTGTGGTCCGGCCAGTGTGGCTCAGTGGTTGAGTGTCAACCTATGAACCGGAAGGTCACAGTACAATTCCCGCTCAGGACACATGCTAGATCCCCAGTAGGGGGCGTGCAGAAGGCAGCTGATCAAGGACTCTCTCTCATCATTGATGTTTCTATCTCTCTCTTCCCTTCCTCACTGAAATCAATAAAGAAATATAAGTATTTTTTAAAAAAACTCTTGCGCAAAGGGTTATCTAACATTCTATTCGAGGTTGTTTGAACTGCTGTACTGCTTCCCAAAACCCTTAGTAAATATAAGTACTACAAATATCCTTATGTTATTTTGTTAGAAATCAAAGGCCCACTCCAGGCCCAAGAGGATATATGTGGATATACAACCTACATTATCCATGCTCTGTCTTCCCTCCCTTGGACAACTCCTCTTTGACTTAGGGTACACACTAGCAAAATACCCTGGGGAGGATGAACCTAGCTAGAAGTCTATGCAATCCCTAGAAATGCACTCAGGGCCACATGTATAGGATATTTCAGAGTCTGGGGTACTAGAGCATGACCTAAACGGACATCTAGGTTGACATCTAGGTTTGGGCAAATCCCCTTGGTAATTAGTTATAAACTGTCTAACCTTGTAAAAGATGTTCTATTTCTTTTTGTGTCACAGAAAGCCCCAATCTCAGAGTAAAGTTAGAGTATAGCATAATGTCAAGCAGATAGATCAATTATGCCTACCACAAGGTCATTGTATTATAAAGACTCTGAAGATAACAGTAGAAATAACATTGCCTCGGACACTGGTGGAAACCTTTCTGTTAAGCTCATCTATCAATAACATTACAAGTAACATTATTTTAATGTAGAATAATGGTTCAAAAAGTACAGTCCACAGATGTTGAAGGTTGTTCATAAACTCATCTAAAATTCAAGGGTAGGGTGGATGGATCTGTTCAGAACAAGAAGGAAAAATGCTGGGACTTACTATTACAGTCATGCCAACTCTAGCTTAAAATTATTATACAGGGTTATTATGCTCTTGCCTCTGCCAGCTTGGCTAGGAAATCGCATAGTTTGATATCATCATCTCCACTTCTTGGCTGAAGTATAGGAGAACCCATAGGCTGAAGGGGAGGCGGCATGGAAATTCTCACTAAAGGAATGGGATCTGAGTTTCCTCTTATTATTTTAACCTTAACATTCTCTGCTAAAAAAACAAAAAACGAAAAACAATAACAGCAAAGAAAAATGAGATCCTATGTCACAATATGAGATATGAGATGACAAAAAATTAAAAATCAGAAGACATGAGTCAAAAAATGGCATCATGGAAGGAAGGAATACTATTACTTGCAATGACAAAAATAAAAACATAAATATGATTCCTAAAAGTTTATTTAAGCACTCAGACTTAGCAATATATGATTTCTTAGAGTTCTATAAAATCCCTTCGGGGTGATTTGGTTGGTAATGGTTCCCGCTTGGGAAGTGAAAAGACTGAGGCGCAGAGAAGAGTTACTTGTTCCAACCCTGGCAGTTAGTCCTGGCAAGCCCACATCCTCCAGCTCCTCCCCCTTTTGAGTGTACGGAGTATGTGGTCTATAAGGTCTTTTGTTCAATTAATGTCAGCCTGGAGAACAGTTTGAGCCATTGTTCTTTCATCGCAGATATATTTCACAAGTCGTTTGTATTTATTACAAACCTGTCATAAGTTAAATAAAACCATATCTAGTCATATGATGCAATATGCTATTTATTCAACAGCCACTTAGATTATAATGAAAACATACCAGTCTAATTACACGAGAAAGCAGAAGAATGGCAGAACACAGAGAAAAAAAAACATCAAAATCCCCTATGAAAATGTGAATATAGTTATCATTGAATAAATGAGCAAATCTATAAATAACTTAATTATTTTTACTGTGTCGCATTTGCTTGACTAAGAGAAATGGTCCAGTAACAGGATTTCCAAAGCGTGAAGGTGCTGATGTGGGTAGAGACAGATACCACGGGAACAAAGGACAAGCACTCAACTTACAACAAATTGACCCCAGAAGTTGAGTTTGAACTGAAGCTTATTTTCACAAAGAAATAGTCTAAACTTGGGTTTTCTGAGGTTTCCCACAGAAGCATGTTCAATTCATATGTAGTTGAACTCTGGCAATTAGACCTTTATGGAACCTATGCATTATTTAAAACATGGCTGTTGAAGGATGGTGTTCGGGGTATAAATTCAAGAAGCCAGGGATGAATCAGTGTCTCTGAGCCCCATCCTCCTGACACTTTTCCTTGACCTTTTTTCCCCATACACCCTTCCAACACTGGTCCCCGGTACACACTAACGACTATTTGTTGAACACTAGCAGTGAGTAAGGGACAGTGCTGTCCCCTCTCTTTTGCCCTGAGAGCAGGCTCGGAGGTGAACTGCAGTGGTAGGAAGCTCTGTCAAAAAAAAAAAAATAGCAGAGGAGGGCACACCCGGGGTGGGGTGGTGGTCAGGAAGGTGGGAATGACTGATGATGGCCCCACTGGGAAAGGCTTTGTCCCACTGAGACAGACACATTGAGATAAGGGTCATTCGTGAATCGGGCATTAATATTTTGAAAACCTCATATCTTATTTCTTGAGCAGAGCTTTTAATGAGCGGCAGTGTTGCTGTAGGCGGCCCTTCAATTTGCTACCCTGAACTTGAGTGTTCCTTTCATGCCACCCAGGACAGGACACCATCTTCTAGCCTGGACCACTGCCACAGTCTCCTAGCTGGTCTTCCTTCTTCTCTTCTTGCCACCCCACTCTTTACACATGAGTATTTCACCCCACACATCATGCCCAACTCAGCAGCCTCTTCTATCTGCACCGCCCCCCTTTCCCTCTGGTAATCATCATACTGTTGTCTGTGTCTATGAGTTAGTTGTTGTTGTTTGCTTACTCCCTTCACCTTTTCCACCCAGTCCCCCAACCCACCTCCCCTCTTGACAGCTGTCAGTCTGTTCTCTGTGTTCTTCGAACACTGTGGACTCCCACAGAATGATAGAGACCGCAGCCAGCACAGAAAAGTGACCATTACTAGTCCTCAGACTCTCCCAAAAACCAATTCCATGTTTGACTGAAGTCGGTAAAATATATGACATAAAAATTGAAAATAAGATTTTTGAGTAGAAGTTTTCTTTGGACCTTTCTATGGGATTTGCTTTCCCTTATTGCAGAAAACTCAGTGGAAATCACCTGATCATCTGATATTCATTCAACATCCTATTGTCCACAAAGCACTTAGGGAACAGAAAAACTATAAAGACATAAAAATGTTCCTTCAACAACTGACAAGGGTATCTTGTAGTGTTTTTAAAAGATGTGAAACCAAGATTGGAAGGACTATTACGTCTGGAATGCATGCTCAAATATATTTGAGATAGTCTCACCTCTAAATAGTTTTGCTATCATGGACTAGTTTTCTTATTGAATGTTTGCATGCTGCATTATAAGCATCAAAAACTTCTTGGGTAAAACCAGAGCTATTAAAATTTCCAAGACATAGTTCAATTTCCATCCATGCCCTCCCAATTGAGCAGTAACACTGTATCACTCTACAGCTCTTTAATGGCTCTGCAAGAACGACATAGTATATTTTTGTGTGATTTCATAGCTATCAGATTTAAATGAGTAGTAAGTCACAGGACCAAAATTATTAACATCTAACATGAACCAGAACACCACCATTATCATAATTCATGCTTTTACATAGATATCAAATTCTCAAAGAACAAAATTCACATAAACAGTTTTCAGGGACTTGAAGACGAGTGATTTGGACATTTTCAAAACCGTGTCATTCGAGACCGATGTCACAGAAACAATTCTAAAACACTTTACTAACTTGGCATCAGTGCTATTAATTTCGCTGTTAGAATGCTCTATTACCTTGAGTCTTTTCAACACGTTATTTAATGAAAATTGCTTTCACTGAATTAGTCCCCTGTCATTATTACAAAGAAATAGTTTGCAACTATTGACTCCTAACTCCGTTTCTTCAGGTAAACAAACATGTGACTACACCAATGAAGTAAAAGAAATTTAAGGGGAATATTATAAAATTAAAAATTTATGAGGAAAACAAAAGCACAGTGGCTTGTTCAAACACACATCCCAAGCTAGGTCTCACAGAAAAAGAACCACTGGTGTCTCAAAATTGAAGTAAACAAACATGTGACTACACCAATGAAGTAAAAGAAGTTTAAGGGGAATATTATAAAGTTAAAAATTTATGAGGAAAACAAAAGCACAGTGCTTGTTCAAACACACATCCCAAGCTAGGTCTCACTGAAAGAGAACCACTGGTGTCTCAAAGTTGAGTATCACAATAATCTCACTTAACTTAAAATGAGAAAACTCTGTCACCCTCTGCGGCTTACCTCGTCATCTTTATACCAGGATAGGCTTTCAGCAGTCAGGACAAACCAGTATCCCTTGGAGCCTCCTTTCATGATGCCGATGTTGCTGATGGTGAGCCACCCCTTGCGAATCACCTACAAGAGAGCACAGGTCAGCGAAGAAGCTTAGTCCAACATGAGCCAGTGGAGACCAGGTCTTGCACTAAGTGAAGTTCAAAACAAGATACAAATCACAATAAGAACAGCATTGCTCCCCCAAAGTTCAACTTCCATTACTCTATTTATCTCCCAAAAGCACCAATAACCAAAGGGAAGAAGTCTCTCCCATCAAATGAAGAAAATCAAAATGGCAGACTTATATAGATGGTGGAAGCAGAACAGCTGAAAGAGAGAGGAACGAAATTCTTGTGCCAGACCCATTTATGGCATGGCTGCTATAATGAAAGCATTCTGGTTGATTGGATGAACAGCAACAGACTCTCCATGCCCACTGCCTCTGCTCCCATTCCAGCCCAGTGGCTCACTTGTTTGCCTGGTTTTGTCTCGTTGGGATTTCTACTAGAGGCTGGCCACCAAATGGTCTAAATTTATCCATCTACCTCTGGTTATTATTTGACACACTAAAGAAAAAATGCAAGCCAGCCAAGTAGTTCCTTGTTAACAGCTCTGAATAAGGCTGAATGAGAAAAAAGAGCTGAAATAATAAGCTAAAATTAAAAATTTGGCCCTGACTGGTGTGGCTCAGTTGGTTGGGCGTCATCCCAGGAGACGAAGGGTTGCCAAGTTCAATTCCTGGTCAGGGCACATGCCCGGATTATAGTCTAGATCCCCAGTGGGGGGCATGCAGGAGGCAGCCAATCAATGATTATCTCTCATCATTGATGTTTCTATCCTTCTGAAATCAATAAAAATATATATTTTTTAAAGTTTGGAGTTTTTAAATGGTCTAGATTTAACCATCTATCTCTGGTTGTTATTTGACATACTAAAGGATATGTAGCATCTTCATAAAAATCTTTAAACAGCTTCTAAATTTTAAAACATTAACAACTTGGCTTACTGATTTGATTTATGATGTATAAATATCCTTTAAGTGAAAATCTATTTTTTTCTCAGTTGTGAAGTTAAATTCTGTTTTTTTTCATATGGCATAGTTTATCGTCTTCTCTATGCTACATAATTTGTTATCATAGGACCAGAAATGAAATACTATATGGAATTGTATGCTATCGCTTCAAATGTCAAAAGTCATCCTATACCTAAATTGTTCAATACCCTAGAGAGCCTGAAATATTTTAAAAATTACTGAATTATTGAATAACTGTGTCAGTTCCTAAAGAAAGATTAAAATACCTTTATAATCAGAGTTTATATTTATATTGCTATAAATTTTCTAACTGAAAAAGCAAAGTCAATCCTAAGGAAAATTATGAATCAATGTTATCATTACTGACCCTTCAAGCCTTTGTTCATACACTAGTCCTCGCCACCCTTGATTCCCTGTTTCTGCATCTCCCAGGAGCCCATTGTCCTTTTTAATGCTCAATTTAAGTTTTCCAGACCCCCATACAGAACCCCTTTGAGGCCCAGACTATGACAATTCTCTCCACTGTTCAAAGTTACTCCTTCTTCTTACCCTCTGCTTGGGAAAGAAGAAACCAATACTTCTCAAAGTATGGTTTCTATCAGTTATATTATAACCATTAGGATGCTTTCTAGAAATACAGATTCTTGGGTCACTAACAAGTCCAAATGAACCAGAATATGTACATTGAAGCCCAGGAATCTACATTTTAACATGTTCCCAAGGTAATTCTGATTCATACTGAAGTTTGAAAAACACAGCCTGCATATATACAATCAAGACTTCACTGTCCTTAGAGCAAATGATCTTATCTAATTTTTAATGATTATACATTCAATCTAGGCAGGAGGGAGCTGACAGAGAGGCAGAATATAAAAAGACAAAAGGACACAGAGAAGCCAATCAGGTGAGGGAGCTGACAGAGAGGCAGAATATAAAAAGACAAAGGACACAGAGAAGCCAATCAGGAAAAAGACAGATGCTATGTAAGTAAGAATGGGGTTCGGAGAACTTAAAATGACCTGGTTTTACTGGTACCACTGAATTCATCTCTCAAAGATGTACCTCTAGAAAAATGGAATGTTATCATCAAAACATGATATTTATTAAACATCATTTCGCCCAGTGGATATATTCAGTTGAACTATATGGAAATTATGAGTTACAAATAACAGTTAAAATAAAATTTGTAAAGAATCGACATTAAAATTAATGAGAATATTCTAATTAGTATATTCTATGACGTTACCGTCATTTGCATTGCAACAGGCTTTCTCACATGGAGAGAAAATAAATAAAAGAGGATTACAGCTATGCACATTGTGAGTGCATGTGGCCAGCATCCTTCAGCGACACCCATGGAAGAGTGTTCAGTATTGAACACTGTCAGCAAGTAAGCTGCTGTCATAGAAAGTTTAAGATGCTCTGGTCCAATCCCAGCCCTTTGTTTTCCAACAGAGAAGCATATTTGCCACAAATGAACTTGCTTTTTCTCTGATGACGATCACCTCAACATAAGAATTAAGAAAAAACAATTCCTAATGTACCTTGTCAGATAAAAATTGAAGGAGAGAGAAATCAAGTTAAACAGTGGGATGAGCCAGGAGAAGGCAAGCATTCAGGAAAAAATGGTCAGGACACAAGAGGTAAGAATGTGAAGAGGAAATTAATAGAATAAAACAAAGGAAAAGTTAAGTGAGAAAAGAAGACAAAGATGAATAAAATTTCCAAAGAATGTCAAAGACAAATGGGATGGATTGTAGAATCTCTTCACAGAGAAAGACGTGAAATGCTGATTTCACCTTCAAATGTAAAATCACCACAATAAATCCATCACCATTCAGTACAATAACCACTTACAGCCTCTTAGTATTTGAATATCAAATTCTGTTTTGAATGCCCAAGTAAACAAGAGCAAGCAGTCCCATAATTACATGACTAGAGGGGACCTTGAGAGCTGAAGGGGCATGTTCTTTTGTAAGCCTTGAAACAAACCAATTTTTAAAATTTACTACCATGAATAACATCCAAGCTTCTTATGCCAAATACAGAAATGTTGAAAGTGAGACCAGCAAGTGGAATAGCCCAGCCTCTTCCTTTAGTGACGAGCCTACCCTAGAGAGTGTGTCCTTGGTAGTTCCGTAAGAGGCCAGGCCTTTCAGGGTTGGCAAAATCTGTATGTTGGGGTAAGTTTGGACCTCAACATCTGGCCAGCACACTGGGTCATAAAATTAATACACAGACAAGAAATAACATTATGAGGAGGGAAAAAAGGGCATGTGGAAAAGTTCTAGTCCAGCCAAGGCTTTGGGTCTTGAACTTGATCTGTGAGCAGGGCGTTTTGACCTTGGCCTTGCTTATGGGAGACCAGGCAAGTTTTTCTCAGCTCTGAGCCAAATTTTAACTGTTGCTGCCTGGGGGGAGTTTGTAAACCACAGACCATGTGATATTTTTATCTTGGTGGATGACAAACGCTTATAGAAAGGCTGTGTCCACGGATGAGTAGCTGCTTCTCTGAAGGTAGTTGCGTGGGAAAATGCTCAGAATTGCATGGGCCCAGCTGGTCATCACCTTGGTGAGCACAAGCAACCTCAGGATAGAGGCTTGTTCTTGAACTGGCTGGCAGAGATCTTTCTAAGCAAGAGTTCAACTGTAGGGGAGACCTCAGGAGGGGGAACTAAATGTACTACTTTAAAAAAAAAATAGTTTCAATTTATTGCATACTCTGTGCCAGGAACTTTACAGAAGTCAAAGTAAGGCAGCGAAGGTCTGTATCACAGAGCACTCTTGAGGGTCCAGCTGTAATTTATTAGGTCCAGGCCAGGACCCAGGCCCAGGTAGGGGATAGCAAGGATGGAATTAGGGGCACTCAGCGCCATTCTGCACCCGGGCCCAAGGCAAGAAGGGAACTCCGGAGACCTAACCTTAACGCATGTGAGTTACTTACAACTCAAGGGTCACCATCCTCTCTGGCTCATGTTTTCAAACTGGCTCGGGCTTATATAGGAGGGAGAAAGCTTCCTTAGGAGGCCTAGGCTTCTAAGATCAAGAAGTTATATAACAAGGGGCAGGATGGGAACACACAGAGGCAAAGGAAAATAAAATAATGAGGGTTTGAATATGCTACATAGGAGAGAAAGGTAACATAAATAAGACCTATTGACTGGGGCTGCCCAGTGCAACGTCCTGAACTTGGAAACAGACAGTGGTGTTTCAAGCATTCTCTAAGATTATCTAGATGAATTCCCCCTTAATGGTCAGTGGCAAAATTCTCCTAAGAAGATATTTTCCCCCAAAAATGTAGACGTTCACAGAACTAAAAAAATGACAGCCTGGGAGGGCTAAACCCAGGATGGTTTTCTCTGTCTACACCCTCTCCTTCAGATCTCCTGAGTGTTGGCAACAATCAGTGATGGCAGCAGAGAAAGAGGTCCAGGAACATAAATGTTGCCTGGGATAATTGCTGTAAAGACTAGAATGTCCATTTGTCTTATTAAATTCGTTGGTATGGAGCTAGTTCTGGGATTATCTTTTGTGGCCCCCTCTTTGCTTTATTTATAAATTAAAGGAAGGAAAACACGAGAGTATTCGACTCCAGAAACCCAGAAGAAACAACCCATTCTATGAGGGTGTGGCTGCTGAAGGAACCCCAAGTCCACCTGGGCCACAGACCCTCTTTGATGTTCCATAAGTATCTTAGACTTTGCCAACTCCTTTGGGAATGTCATCTTTGGACTTTAACTTCTGAGAACTTCATAGACATTGAGGACATGTCTATTTCATTGACATTTTATTACTGAATGCAAATTAGAATGGATTAATGATATGCTCTGGTAGCTACAGAATCTTTGATAGGCTACGGGAACAATACGACTGGACATTATTTGAAACAAGAAATAAAACAAGAAGCCAACAATTAACCTTGGGTATAGACTGGCCTTACTGGTACAGTGGATTTTACTGGTGTGCTGTTTTGACCCATTTCAGAGTCTCCTCTCCACTGGTGGTTCCAGGAAGATGCTCAAAGGAGCCACGATTAGCTTTGGAGGAG